AGCTTCTCTGGGTGTTTCAGGTTTAATTATTAGAAGGAGACCTGTACTCCTGCCCTAACAGATTGAGGGCTTGAGTTTTAATTTTAATTATCAAAGGTGTTTGACTTTCCCCTCCAAAGAGAGCTTATTATTGCAGCCATTCCATTTCAAATTCATAAACGATGAGACAACACAATTGCTGACGCGTTGTCGCAACTTTGATGAAAGAAGACAGGCATTTGATGGTGGGAGTAACGGGACTGAGATAGTCTGTCATGGTGAATGTTTGCATGCTGGGAGTCAATGTGATGTCCGTGTATTTCAGTGTACCAATAGAGTAAGACTAAAGGTTTTTTAAAATGAAGCCACCTTTCTATATTGATGAAAACTGAAAGAACTGCAGATGCTGGAAATCAGAAAGAGAAACAGAAATTAGCAGGTCTGGCAGTATGTGTGGAGAGAAATCACAGCTAATGTTTCGGGTTCAGTGACCTTTCCTTATATATTGATGGGTTTTTTTTAAAAGGGAAAAGGTATGACTTTGAGAGGTTTATTTTCTCCTTTTTTTAAAAAATGAATAAAGGTCGTGACAGAGGCGCTTAGCTGTCTGCTCAAAGCCAATAAAGTAAACAGCTTGTGTTGGAACAATAAAAGCAGCCTGAATGGGCAGGACTCAAGCACTCATAGAACCAGGATTTTTACTCTGAGTTTTCAGCATTTGCTAGGATCTTGAAGCTGGATGTGGAAGCTGTTATTCCTCTCACTGTTACAGCTAAAAGCTGGGGGGTTCTCTGCCAGCTGCTACAATTTCATGTGAGACCATCTATTTTACTGAATTTGTCTTTGCCAAGAGTTACTATATTGGAACAGTTAATTAGTCATCGTTAATGTATTTATTATTTTGTTATGCATTTCGATAGAGTTGCAGTTCAACCAATTCTTTTTATTTTATCTGCATTTTAACTGTCGTGTAAAAATCAAATGTGTTTTGCTGAAAGTCAAATTACATCTGGAATGCAACACCTCTCACTGACCTTTAACGTAAGAAAATGTGAGGGTCTAGACTATCTTCTGAATATATATTGAAGGGGTTTGGTCTGGTCCATAACACACAGACAGTCACACGTGTGTGCACACACAGATACCACCCCCCGAATGGGTAAATAATAACTACTCAGAACAGTGCAAGTCATTCAGACAAAGAGAGGTGAAACAAATATGCCAAGAAAGGGTGACAGCAGAGAAGTCCTCTCACACTGAAATTTAATCGATGTTGAGAAGTACAAACTTTGGTTATTTCACTTTAACGGTAACACAGTAAGCCCCAGACCTCCCTTCACCACAAGACACACTCAGTTTTGGAGCTGCCTGTCACTCCTTCCCTCCAAAAGCCTCCAAACCCAGTATTCGCTGAGTTCCTTTATAAGCACATCTGGCTGAGTGTTCTCTATCACAACACAGCCCACATCTCATCTCCAAGCAACAGCTTTGAGAGTTCACCACAGCCTGTAAAACTCAGCCCAAACTCATCACTCACTCCCCATGTTTAGACAACAACTGTCACTCTCAATTAATAGATCCGACCCCAGTGCCCCATTCAATCATCCTGAGTGGATGGTAACACAAGTGGGGAAATGGAAGGAACAGTCTCCAAACTCGGAGCTTTGAAGTGATAAAGGTTTGTGTGTCAAATCAGGATGGAAACATTTTTGTCAATACTGATTCTGTGCTCAGTCCGGAGAGAACAAATCAATAACACTCACTACTACAGTTTGTACTGACAGATCGCAGGAACACATTTCACCGCATTGCAGGCAAATCCACATCACAACACCAATACGAGGCACTGGGACAACATATCCAGGGCACTGGGACATCTGAGCAAGGGTGGAGGGTCAGGGAGAGAGAAGAGTGGGGGTTGAGAGAGAGGGTGGTGTTGAGGGTGAGGGGAGAGGGGTGTTGAGGGTGGAGGGGAGGATGGAGGGGGAGGGTTTGAGGGAGAGGGTGATTGAGGGGGAGGGGTTTGACGGAGTGGAGCATTGAGAGAGAGGGAGGTGTTGGGGAGAGGGGGTGGGGGAAGGGATTGAGGCCAAAGGGACAAGGGGGCTGGTGGCTAAGTGGGAAAGGTCTTTGAGGGAGCGGGGAGGTGTTGAATGAGAGTGTGTTAAGGGAAGGGGCCTGAGGGAGAGGGGATGAGGGGTTGTGTTGAGGGAGAGGGGGGGACGTCAAGGAAGGGAATTCCCGAAGTCAGGACACATGAGCTGCCCCCAGAACATTGTGAACCCACATTTTATCGAATGAGAAATCTGCCTCACCTGTACCGAGGGGGGATCGTGGTCTCCAACAACTGAGGGGTGTGGTGGTGTAGTGCGTGCCAATAGCCCCCCCGGGGCTTGATGGGCGCTCTTCCCCTTTCCGGGGCTGGAGTGATCCATCAGAAACCCGTCCAGCAGACACCTAGGGAAAACCAACAACTCTATCACACACTCCCATCACATACTAACCGAGTGACAGAGGGACGACAACTCTGTACTGACACTGAGCAACTGCATTCGGGGTGTCGATCACTCACTGCTCGCCGTGCCCATTGCTCTGGGACAGCCAAAGCACCAGGGCTGCAGTACTCCTCTGCACCAGTGTGAGGCAGTCGTGTGCTGGCTCAAATCAGCAGCCATGGCTCTGGGCAGTGTTTGCAACTGGGTGGAACAGTGCACACAGATCAGGCAGACTCAGAGGCAGGACGTGGGGAGCCCATGGGGGCTGTGCCGATGCCCTGAACAAACCTATTTGGATGTGGGCAATCCCAATGGCACCGAGACTGAGGGACCGGGGCCACCATCTGGAGATGGGGCCGGCCCACAGGTAACCAACTCGCTTCAGCCCAGAATCAGGTGCCGCCTGGACCTAGGACTCAGTCCACCCTGGAATTTGATACAATTCACACCTGTTACCCCACCAACCCCCTCAACAGCTGGGGGGAGCGGGGGCAGTAGGGGCAACACGGCCAAGAGATCAACCCAGCCTTATCCAACGATGTCTCAATCCCGAGTACCCCCTGCACAACAAGCACAGAGACAGGGGCAAGTCGAATGGTTGGGGGCCAGTGGGAGGGAGGGATAGGGCTGGAGGTTGGGGGGAGGTCGGTGGGGGGGTTTGGGGTAATGACAACACAAATATAGGAACAGCTCCCATCCCGACGAGACTGCAACACAGAGCTGCACACCTCTACAAAAGGTGAGGTCTGAACTAAACGCTGGAGCAGGATGAGGCCATTCGACCCATCGGGTCCCCTGCACAGACAGAAAGGCTGAGGAAAGACCGCCCCCCCATCTCCCCATGTCTCTCTGTCTCCACCCCACAACCCCACTCCTCCACAACAACAACAACTGGCAGAGACAGCCAAACCCAAGGGCAGCCAATGGGATTTGCAGATTTGGGAGCCTACCTTGGGCAGCCAATCAGAGTCAACCATGCTGCGGGTGCTATGGCGGGGGTGGGGGGGCATGCTGGGTGGGGCGAAGCTAACCAATGGGAGGCTGGGGCTTGGGTTGGGGGGGTGGGGGGGTGGTGGTGTGGGGGGGTGGAGCAAGGATCAGCCAATGAGAGTCTGAGGTTGTGAAAGGGGGCAGGGCCAAGGGGCACCAATGGGAGAGGGCCTGAGGTTGTGTGTGTGTGTGTGTGGGGAGTCCTTGGAGTGAGAGAGAGTAGTGGGAGAGGGACAGACAGGGTCACAGACACAGGGACACAGACACAGGGACAGACGGGGGACACAGACGTGGGTTCCCCGGGATTCAGCTCCCGCTGACCCAGTCTTTGGGACAGTTCCCAGTCTATTGCTGCTTCCCTGTTTACAGTTACCATGGAGACCACTCCACAGTGTGTCAACAACACAGCTTCCCTCTCGGTTTTCCATGAGACTCCCCTCCTGTCCATGTCTCAGGACAGAATCTCCAATGATGCTTACAACAAGGACACCAGCCCTGACAAGATGTACCTGGGAGCCCGAGGTGAGTGAGTGGGCTGCTTCGGGGACGGGGGCGGGTGACAGACAGGGGGGGGGGGGGTGGGGGAACTTTCTGTCCCCACCAACACCAGCCACAGACGGTTCATTTGTTCCACACAATCAGACCGATAACAAGCTCAAACCGAGACAGACTGCTGCAGGGCTGGAGATTTATGTTCCCTGGGGGGGGGGGGAGGCAACTGCACAAAATGGTGTATGTCAAGGCCCCAGGCATTCCCCGGATCT